CTGGATGACCCCCAATCATGGTTCTTACCAAACTTAACGTTTTGAACTGGTCTCCGGAAGAAAGTAAGGGGAGTTGCCAGGGGACTCGACCCGCCTTAGGAGGCACTATTTCACCCAGTTTTGGCTCCCGCCTTGCCTGGATGATAGGACCGATAGATGACAGGGATCTCTGCCCGCCTAACGAGTGCCTAAATGGGACACCTTTCGCACGATGATGCAAATTGGTTATTTATTGAAAATAAACCGGAGAGATTTGACATGGGGTCTTTCTAGTTCGCTGAGTGCAACTTTCTTATTTTCACCTATCCTTCTTTGTCCCCCCCGGTTCTATACATTATACTGGTGACACTTCCCGGTACCGAAATGCTCAGGCATACAAAAATGATGGCGATCGGTTGTCCTATCTGTAATAGTCCCTACCGTGCCCTGAGCAAGCACCTGCTGAGGAACCATAGTGTGCGTAATTTAGTGGAAAGAAGAATTCTGCTGTTGTTGGCGAAAGGACGGATAAACATTAGGCTCCATCCCTGCATTATTGCAGGATGCGAGTACAACGGGACAAGGCTGGACCGCCACTTGTACAGAAACCATGTTGAGCTGTCCCGGCAGGAATTACATGTGGTTTTAACTAAACTAAAAATGAAAGTGGCCACAAAGAAGCTTCATGAACTCAGTTTGACAAACCCCAGAGTAGCAATGATTACCTCTTGGGATGTTGACACTGTGGGTGATGATGTCCTGTCACAACCTCCACCCTTGTCCCCAGTGATTACATGTGACAACCCGGACTGTAAGGAATGGAGGATGGATGCAAACAGAATGAAGGCTCAGAGGGACATATATGCTGCTGAGGTGAAATCCCTGCGCTGCATGCTGCAGCAGAGGATTCAACGTAACCGAAAGAGGATGAACCAGAGGGCCGAGGACCAAGAGCGGGTGTTTCTAAGGAAACGATCCCGAACAGAGTCAACACCAAAGAGGCTGTCCAAGTCCAAAGGTCCCTCCTGCAGGAAGTCCCCCATTGCCTCTCACACACCTGTATCCAGCTCCTCAGAACCTGCATCCATAGATACCGAGGCCTCGTCATCCTCCCCTCCCATACATTCCCCCTGGTTCAGCGGCAGGGGCCGGGGGAATCGAATGCGGGACATTACATTCCCACGCATCATGGAGAAGTATCTGCAAGGCTACCGGGACCATTATGAGGGCATCGATCCAACAGTGAGGCTCCAAGAAAACGCAGTCTCCAAAATAAGCAGAGTCAAATCATTCCTAAGCTTCATGGCACACGGTTTCAATCGCCTGTCTGACTGGCTCTTTTTGAGGGATCTGAAGAGGATACGTGGGTGGTCCCGGAGCCTGATAAAGTCAAGCCTACAGGTCACGACATCTGACTTCTATATCAAAAATATATCACACTTTCTCAAGTACATGAATGAAACACCATGCAAGGGGAGCAGGCTCAACCAGAATGACATGATTTTAATCACACGGGAAGTTGCTGCCATCCTGAAGTCCATGAGAAAGAAGGTGTTTATCCACCAGATGCAGGTGAAGCGGGACAAGATGGAAGGTCTGCCAAGCCATAAAGACATCATGGCATGTTTGACTGCGGCCAAAACTCGCATCCCTCAGCTCCTGGACGTGATGACCAGCAACCCGACTCACACAACCCGGAGCCTGCTCTATGGGTACATGACCCTCAATTGGAGCTGCATTTATGGGCACCGTCCGGGGGTCTACTCCAACATGACCAACACGGAGGTCCTAAAGGCGGAGATAACTGGCACTGCCTTTGGCCACCTCATCCACGTGAGTGAGCTATTAAAACATGTGTTTATTCTGGCAGTGATACACATGTTGTGGATGATTGATACTTGTATTGACGCTCTCTAACTCTGTCATAACAGGTAAGCAACCACAAGACGGCCAACGCGTTCGGGGAAGCGCAGATGTATCTCACCATAGAAGAATTTGGATGGATGAAAAGGTGGCTGGAAATCAAGGGGACGCTGACCGGCACCAACAACCGCTATTTCCTCTGCACAGCGGGGAAGAACCCATCGAGGAACCTTGCCACCTTCCTGAGGTTAGCATGGGCTGATGTTGGACTAAAAGGTCCCATTAACTTCACCGACCTCCGCACAGTCCACGCCGATAATGCGAAGAGGTTTCAGGACATAAGCAACCGCCAAAGAGTGAGTGATTTCATGTGTCACAACACTGCAACTGCAGACACATTTTATGCCAAGAATCCTTCTTTGAAGGAGGCTGCGGACATACGAATGCTCTTCACAGAGTCACTGCAAGCAGCGGCCGCAGCAGCATCAGGGGTGAGTGAAGACAATTTGGGGGACATTGACATCCACAGTGACCGTGACAGCTCTGGAGAGGAGCATAGCCCTACTCCCTACCAAGACTCCACCGATACCGAGACGTCAGATGAATTATACAAAGACTTCAACGCTTGGAGAGCGGCGAAGAGGGAACAGTCAATGGCCGAACACAGTCCCTCAGACACGGGTGAAGAGAGGGTGCCAGCCTCTGCACCAACTTCACCCGATACGGACAATGTTGCCAGTGATCAACTTGTAAATATGCAATGTTTTGTTGTACTCAGTCCGCTTGTGCTGGATGAGTTAATAATGTTATAATGTTATAAAGTGTCAATGTATATATTTCTGTAAATAAAGTTTGTTAAAATTACTTAATTTGTCCTCTTTTTTATAACCCAATATGGGTGATTCCCCATTAAGATCCCCAGGGGCACGAGGTTCTGGTGGTGTGCATGAAGGGGTTTAGTCCACGTGAGGAGTGCTCAAATGTGGGAGGATGTGTAAGGCAGCGGAGGGTAAAATAAGTTAAAGTGTGAACCTCCAGCAGGGCAGGTGGTGCTGCTGTGAATAAGGCCGACTATGGAGTCCGATGGGCGGACTGTAAAGCACCGCAAAATACACCCCCTGATAGGTAACCAGGGCCATGAGAACATCCTCCACAGGAGGGTGGGTGGTGCTGCTGTGAATAAGTCCGACTATGGTGTCCGATGGGCGGACTGTAAAGCACCGCAAAATACACCCCCTGATAGGTTACCAGGGCCATGAGAATATCCTCCATAGGAGGGTGGGTGCTGCTGCTGTGAATAAGTCCGACTATGGTGTCCGATGGGCGGACTGTAAAGCACCGCAAAATAGACCCCCTGATAGGTTACCAGGGCCATGAGAACATCCTCCATAGGAGGGTGGGTGCTGCTGCTGTGAATAAGTCCGACTATGGTGTCCGATGGGCGGACTGTAAAGCACCGCAAAATAGACCCCCTGATAGGTTACCAGGGCCATGAGAACATCCTCCATAGGAGGGTGGGTGCTGCTGCTGTGAATAAGTCCGACTATGGTGTCCGATGGGCGGACTGTAAAGCACCGCAAAATAGACCCCCTTATAGGTTACATGGGGCACGAGTTTCTTGAGGGTGTAATCATCTGGGTTTAGTCCGTGGGGGAGTGCTTAAGTTCGGGGGCCCGGGGTCCCAAGGTGCGCGAGGTTATGGAAGTACGCATGTCAGGTAGATATGCTGGAGGTCTGTAGTCCGTGTTTTGGGTCTCTGTGAGGGGCCAAAGTGAGGTGGTTTTCCCGGTGTATGTCATGGAAGTCTGAAATAGCCTGTTTGCCCATGTCAAATCTTATGAGGCACTATTTTGGGATACATTTTATCCATTTTAACCCCTTTCTCTGGTTCTTCCAAAAGTGAACTTTAACTTATTTAGCCTCTGGAGGAATGCAAGGGGAGTTGCCAGGGGAGTCTACCTGCATTATGATGCACTATTTTGGGATACATTTTATCCATTTTAACCCCTTTCTCTGGTTCTTCCAAAAGTTCACTTATACTTATTTAGCCTGTGGAGGAATGCAAGGGTAGTTATCAGGGGAGTCTACCTGCATTATGAGGCACTATTCCCGGGTACATTTTATCCATTCTGTACATTTGGCTTACCGCGACTGGTAGTTAATGTCGCTACGGGGGACGCGTATATCCCTAAGGTATGGAAAAACGTCCAAACGGCACCAGATTTCAGATGATGGCTAATGGTCCTCAACACATCTAAGCATATTATGGGGTGTCATCAAATGCCGTTGCCATGGCGACAGATCACCCGCCATCAAACACAATGTTTGTGTTACTGCTGTAACTCAAAGACATTGTCCGATCGGCCTGAAACTTCCCACGTTTGCCAACGGCCAAGTCCTCGAGACACCTAGACACACACGTCGACGTGTGGACAACAGCCTGCGGAGCGTCGAAGACCCGCTCAATGCTGCTTGCAGCTTTAATTGTTATTATTATTATCTATTAATTATCTTTATATTACAGATACCACACCCAATTACTATTGCATGTTCAATTCACTACCATGGAGAGCCAATAAAGTTAGAACAGCCTGTGGAGAGCCGTTCTTCCTCGCAGAGAGTCACCGTCACCTTCTTACAGAGGACAGGACAATCTAGCTGCAGCACTACCCGTATATTTTCGCACGCCGTGTGCTCAACCCGGCTCTAGGGGCCGGAAAACTGGCTGCCCATTCACTCTCCTATCCCGCATGGGGTTCAGTTTCGGCATGTGTTCATGTGTGGGTACGAATAAAAGTTATTTCCCTGTTGGGGATAAATAAAAGTATATATTGTACCTTCAACAAACTTGGTACAGTGAAGGTAAAGAGTAATGAAAAGAATAAAGACTATAACAAAAAAAGTAGAGAAACAAGAGAACTGCTTAAACAGTCAGCCACTCACGGTGGCGTCAACACGTTGTAAAGGACAGGCTAAGGGACGGGACATCGCTAAGTGGTCGGCCAATCACAACAGAGTCGGCCAGCTAACCAATCAGAGCAGAATGGGCTCTGGTTTCAGATAGAGGGTGAAAAGTGGCAGTATGAGAAAAATAAAGATATTTTTTAACATTAAAGCATGGAGACATGTCCCAGTGAAGACAAAATACTAATACCAACCTGAAAATGAACAGAATATGTCATCTGTGTCATTGTCCTCAGTCTCTGGTTGTAAATGTCTCTCTGGATCCGAGTTCCTGGCTGGTTCTGGTCCTCCACAGTCCTCTCCATCAGCTTCTGTTTCCATGTGTTCAGCTGAGCTGCTGGCTGGAGGCTCTGCCTCTCTGTTCTCCTCAGTTTGAGTTTGATGAAGCTGTGAGGACTGACGACCAACACACTTATGGGTTTTGACCAGAGTACCCCGGATAAATCTTTTATCACAAAAACTACAATGGAATGGTTTCTCTCCTGTGTGGATTCTCATGTGTCTATTTAAATCTCCTCTATGTGTTAATGATTTCTCACAGACTGAGCAGCTGAATGGTTTCTCTCCTGTGTGGATTATCATGTGTCTCTTTAAACCTCCTTTCTGTGTAAAAGAATTGTTACAAACTGAGCAGCTGAATGGTTTCTCACCTGTGTGGATTTTCATGTGTGTCTGTAAACTTGATTTCTGAGTAAAAGAATTGTTACAAACTGAGCAGCTGAATGGTTTCCCTCTTGTGTGTGTGCTCATGGGTCTATTCAGATGTATCTTGCTGCAATTTTCTTTCCCGCACTGAGAGCATCTAAAGCGTTTCTCTCTAGCACTAGGTCTTGAATCACTGACAGGCTCTTGTTTGTTTTTCGCAGACTTTGAAGCTGACACAGGTTCTCTGGATTCCTTCCAATCAGCCCTGTCTTCAGTGTCAGGTTCAGAAGAGTCTCCTGGGTTGTCCTCAGTCTCTGGTTGTAAATTACTCTCTGGATCTGAGTTCCTGGCTGGTTCTGGTCCTCCACAGTCCTCTCCATCAGCTTCTGTTTCAAGGTGTTCAGTTTGTCTTTGATGAAGCTGAGAGGACTGAGGTTTCTCTTCATCATCTTCACTCTTCACAGGGACAGGAGTGAATGTGGACTTGGTGATATCAGCCTCCTCCAGCTCTTGAAGCTGCTCTCCCTCCCGACTGCTCCAGAGTTCCTCCTGTTCCTCTTTAATGTGTGGGGGAGGCTTTGGGTCCTCCTGGTCCAGACTGGAGCTCCACTCCTGCTGCTCAGGGGGAACCTCTTCTTTAACCACCACCAGCTGCTGGACGTCTGCAGGAAACAGGAAACACATATTCAGAAACTGTAGAATATTAGAATTGAAAATCTAACCACGATTAACACTTGATTAACTTTGCAGCCCTTATCCATTCCTTATTTTTAAATGCTTGCCTATTGTTTTGCTAAGTCCCGCACACTGTGTGTCTGTTGTGTTGATTGTCTGTCAATTACACCTTTTGTCCAGATGCTCTGGAGAGGTGAGCTTCAGTTAGTACTGTAGCTGATCTAAAACATAGTAACAGTGCTTAGTTTGGACAGGGCGAGCAAGGGGGCAAAGTTTCTACTTTTCTGTTTGCAGATATGAGTTGCTATATGTAGGTTTGAGTAATTCATGCTAATGTTAGTTAGCAGGGTTAGCTCTGTATTTACTGGCTGTATGAGGTGTTGGTCTTTTTTTAGTGATTGTTTTAGACAGTTGGAGGGGGCTCCTATTGAGGCACTGCTAGCTGTGCCCTTCATTTAACACTTAGAAAATAGGCAGGAGTAGTACTGTTGAGGAACCGGTGACCTACATTTGCATAGCATAACTACACCGTAGTTGTGAATATGATATGACAATATCACCAAGGGGGGTCCGGTGTGGGTGGCAGCTCTATCTCCAGTCCTCCAGAATTGTCCTAATCACAGAGTAAATGAGAAAAATAAAAATGTATCTAATTATACACAGGGGGGCAAAATTATGATTGCAAAATGTAACTCAGCATTACAGACAAAACAATATTAGCCATGACGTACTGATTTAGTTTAAAAAAAAGGAGAAGTGACAGTCACAGCTAGCATCCCTTTGACAGCACTCCAAAAACTTAAATCAAGCAAAAGTCTTCTGTCTATTTCTGATGGTCTTATTATTATTCTTATTATTATTATTCTTATTATTATGGGATAAGGATACATATTTCCTGGATTATTCGAACCACGCTCCGAAGCAGTACTTAAAGGTAGGGTAGGTAAGAAGGGAGAAACCAGCTCGAGTTAGCTAGAATTTGAAAGAACCCAACCAAAAAAAACTGCCCTTCCTTCAGACTTCCTCACAGAGCCCCTCCTCCAACACATACAAACGCACACATGACCAATGAGGGCACGAGATAAGTTTGTGCACAGAGGGAAGGCTGACAGGCAGGTAGGCCATCCAATCATCTGCCGTGGGCCGAGGCAGAATGGTCGTGCTTTTTACAGCGCCACAGCTTCCACAGATGAAATATTTGTATATATTTATTGTCAAAGCATTTAATATATTCATTGCTATCGATATGTTAAGAGCATTCCATGGGATATAACAAAAAGTGTTTCTGATGTGAATTACCTACCCCACCTTTAACATCACTACAGATTATGTTCCAAACCACATCAAGCATTATTTCTTTAACAGTATGGAGCTCAAACGCTTTCTCTCTTGCGGGTTTAGCACAAGGTGAGTTCCTTTTTGTCCGGCTTCTTTACACATACTCCCTCCAGTACAGCGTTAGCTCTGAGTATTAGCGATGCTTGCTAATGTAAACACAGACCATATTACTCCCAAAACACGTTGCACATTATTCTGATACAGCGATGTTTCTGATAGGTTGGGGCGGAACGTTTATTCAGTGTTTACCACTAGAACAATGCCATTGTATGTATTAGTATTGTCACGATACCAACATTTTTGTTTTGATACCGATAGCAAGTCTAGAATTGCGATTTCTTAAAAAAGGGGAAACTGTCTTAAATGTCTTTATTATGCTTTATTTCAAACCTGGAAAATGTTTTCAGTCATAACACAAACCTTTGAACAATGAGAATAATACATTAAAGCAATGGCATTCAAGGTAAAATGACAAGTGTTATGATATTAGGGTCATGCCGAGACAGATCGCTATCCCTTTAAGAGAGAGAGAGAGAGGTGTGTGTGTTTTGAAGCGAACGAAGCAGCAGCAAAATAGGTCTGTCGAGTGTCTTCAAAGTTAGATCTGTAAGAAAGACCTTAATAAATGCAACGGCCCCCAAAGAAGAGCTCGCTGTTCTGCCTTATTTCAAAGCGGGTTATTGAACGCGAAGTTTGTTGCTTCGGCCTTGGAAGACTGCAGAAAGTCAACCCCTGTTTTCCTGGACTACGGTCTGGGAGCCACAGGAAAGTTTAACACATTCATTTATATCAACTAAAATAGCAGCATCATCTGAAACAACAAACACAGTCTCTGAGAGGAGCTGACAGGCTGCGGGGAGTGGAAACAGAGCGCTGAACACACACAAGAAATACGGCTCTTATTAAAACAATGTCAGTCTTAAAATACCGATACTAATGAAATGGAGGAATCGCAACATTTTTAAAGGCAGGGTATCGCGATACCTTTCTAATATTGGTGCACCTTGCAACACTAGTATGTATTATATATTTAACAGCTTTACTCCAAGTCCCTCTCGTAAACATCCTGCTGAATACACAGACACACAGCTGAGGGAGGGGATTCAGCTAGCCGACTGTATATGGAGACGATAGTTTGGGAAGTGGGCGCAACGTTGCCAGGAGTTCAATGTAAAGCCAGCCCACTTTTTTAGTAATGTCATCATGACCGCAGCAAATCTGGATCAGCTCCGTTGTCTCCTCGTTTTTACAGATGTGGGTACGTTTTATTTTCTGACATTTGTGAGTCTCCTTACACACCGGGGGCACATATTTATGTCAAAAAGGGCATTTTGCATGATAGTTGACCTTCAAGATTAGATGATAAAATCAAATGGATATATTTCAAATATAATTTTGTAGCCCTACCTCCGAGCTGCATGAGCTGAAAGAAGAGGTTGTAATTTTTGCCCTAAGTTTAATAAACAATAAAACAATGCAACATGTCAGAGTCTAAAATAAAAAAGAGCAAACGGCAGCAACATGTCAGATTTATCATCACCCCGGACTGTGAGTTAAGCAGGTCTAATGTTTTCACTTTGATCTAGTTATGCACTTAATATAAAGGATAAGTTATCCATAACAGAGTCGAGATCTCTGTCTGACATTAGGAAGCTTCGGAGTTGATTTTAATATAAAATAGTAAACGGCAGCACGTGCAACTTCACTAACGTCACGTGTTTATCCGTATTATTTAAATGCAGTGGCGGCTGGCCCATAGGGGCGCTAGGGGCGCCGCCCCCCCCTCTTCCCACATGTTTGATTGTCATTAAAAAAAATATATATTTTTAATTTTTAATAAACAAGGTAAATATTATATAGTTGGTTGGTATCAGTAAAATGTATAATCTACAATAAAATCTCGTTTAAAATTGTTTTACGATGTCTAAAGTTACTGATAAGTCACATGTTTCCTGCCTGGCCGCAGCGTGTATCATTACCCTCTCTCGCCTGGGCGGTAAGAAAGGAGCCCTCAGCCAGAGCGGCAGCAGTCAAAAAACTGACTGTTGCTATCTGTAAACTATGCCGCCGAAACATAATTTCGGACAATCAGCGTTGTCAGATCTGATGCTCACAGGGCGGCAATTTCAGCGCCCGATGCAGTCTGTGAATTGTTTGGACTCGTATTGTAGAGTTAGATTTGTATTTATTCATGTTAGCAAACTATGGATAAGCTTAAAATGAGAATAATTTGGGTAAAACTGTGAGCTGCATTTGGGGCCTGTTGACATGTGTTTTTGAGGACAAAGGAAGATGGGGGAAGGTGAGAGCATGTCCTGATTTGCATTCAACTTAGAACAAGCTACAGTGGTTGTAATATTAAGAGAGGTCCCTTGGGTTTCTCTGGTGCTTATCAATAGTAGCAGTTAAGTGAATACTGTTCAAACAATACCTGTGTTTGTGTTTTATATTGATTTCTCTGTTTTATCCTTTCATAAATGTAAGGACTACAAATGGCTATAAACATTCTGGGCTGGTTGGAGTAAACAGGGTTTTATTGCTCTGTGGGGGAAGTGTAGGTATGCAGGCCTTGAGACCTTTTGTTGGAAAGTGAGCCTGTTTGGTTTCCTGCTGCGTTTCCTGCTGCGTTGCGTCTCCCAATGAGATGACCTGAAAAGATGACCAGCTGACCTAACACCAAACCCCTCCTTCTTACTCTGGTATATATCCGGTGGATCCCTGGCGTTCGGCCTCTTCTTCACATGCTGCCCTCGGGTGAAAGTAGCTCTGCAGTATGCGGACCAGAGCAGGAGTAAGCCGGCATTACTCCTTAAGCATTACAATATAACTGTAATATATCATGTTGTATTGTAATGATTGTATTGCATTGTCATATTGCCATTAAAGTAGATTATTGTTAACGGTTACTTTGTAGCTATGGATTCCTTCCTGTATTATAACCAGCTTCATAGGAACGCGCGGAGATTTGAAAAGCGGACCAGTTATCCCTCCAAATCTCTAACAAAATGGTGACCCGACGTCTAGAGATAACGAAGCTGAGGAAGAATTCAGACGCTTTCAAACATCTCAGACAATCAGCAGGACTCTGCAACTTTGCAAATAAGGTAAGCAGACGATGAAAGTCGCCTGTCTGTAATTGGATACGCTAAAACTTTAGGATTGTCTGTAGGCGTTTCAGTGTTTTTATAGTTTAAATGGAATATACAATGCATATTTTACTATGTTAGGAAAGTTATATACAAAACGTAAACGTTGATCGACAGGTAGACGAAAGTCCTGCGTGACGTAAAATAGAGCAGTTTGGCGCGGATCTGCAGGTAGAATATTCCTGAGTGGCGTAGAAATGGTGCAGTTTGTGTGAATGCGAGGTTTGAATCCTGCACGGCAAAACCTGGAAACTCGATAAATCAGATCGAGTCGCCGTTTAAAACTGGGGTTTAAATAACAGACCAATGCTAAAAGCTTAAAGCCAGAGGTCTGTTATATATTAAACCAAGGTAGAGCGTTTCCCTTTGTCTGGAAACTTCTGCTGCTGCCATCTAGTGGCTGAAAGGGGGTATCACACCCTTGAAACTTCTGCTGCTGCCATCTAGTGGCTGAAAGGGGGTATCACACCCTTGAAACTTCTGCTGCTGCCATCTAGTGGCTGAAAGGGGGTATCACACCCTTGAAACTTATGCGAGCTTAGAGTTTAATCATTACATTGCTGGCCGGTATTGAAGACGGGAAGCACGTTCCCAGTATATTAATTATAACTGATTTTGGTAAACTGGTACAAAACAATAAGGGATTGAACATTTTTTACAACGACAGCACCAGGAGATGAGTAAACTCAAGAATCTGTAGAGTGTAAATACATTGTGCAAAACACATTTTACACTCGAACTGTTTGCAAATGTAGACAATATAAATAAATGTTCAGAAAGAAGACATAGGCCTACACTTGATTCAAATTTCATTACTGTGATCCGATTGGTGTGCTCTGCAGGTTTACTATTGTTCGAAGTAACAGTGGGATTTAAAATGAGAGAAGATATGGAGATGTTCTTTCATAGTGTGTGGAATATGTGATGCTGGAAACATGTAAGTATTTCAGAGTTGTGTTGGGTAAATATGTAACAATGGATGAAACAATTTTTGGAGTGAGTTTTTGTAATATCATAAGTAGACATTAATTATGTTGTTTAGATGGCATTTAACAACTAAGACAGATAGTATGATTAGAAAGAGACAGAGTGGAAAGGGTTCGATTTATTTAACATCAGTGTGCTAGAC